TGTGGAATCTCATTAACTTATCTGATCTCAAACAACAGAAAGAAAAGAGAAACCCCTGGGTGAAGCCCTCTGTAGACCAGCAGCCATTCACGGTGCTTTTCTGGCCACTGACTACTCTTTTCTTGAAATAAGCCTGTTTTTCGTTGATTATTGTTGTCCCTGAAGGATTAGAAGACGTAGAGCAAGAAAACAGTGTATGAGTGAGACAAGCAGTACACTCTTTGTGGCAATAATCAATTACCAAACATTGAATAAAATGTAAAGAAACAATGATCAATGAACAATTATCTTGCTTTAGAATGTACATATGCTATACTTCCTGGTCCATGTAAAAACAGTAACATGGGATAGGGAAGTTGCTCAGTGATAGAGAACCCAGAGTGTAAGGAGCCCCGGGTTTGAAGCCAAGCAAGTACCACCAAAGCAGCAGAGACAATTTGTCGTTTGAATGATAACAACAAAATAACTTGTTTTTTTATTTTGCTGCCTATGAATATCCTTGAAGAGAAAAGATAGGCACCTTGAGAACTTGTCCAGAGGTTTATACGGATGGATTAGGGAAAGGTGCTTGCTGCCTGAGCCTCCTGACCCAAGTGAAGGTGCTCAAAACCCCTGTAAAGGTGGACACTTTGAACTGACCTCCACACGTGTCCTGTGGTATGCACAAGTGTGTCTGTACACACTCACATGCACACGCCTGTACACACAATAATAATTTATTGTGTAAATAATAATTTAAATAATAATTTAAGACCGTATTCCTTCAGGCTGAGGGGTGGTGGTGCACGCCTTTAAGTCCAGTATTCAGGAGACAGAGGCAGGCAGATCTCTGTGAGTTTGAAGTCAGCCTGGTCTACAGTGAGAGTTCCAGGACAGCCAGGGCTACACAGAGAAACCCTGTCTTGAAAAATCAATCAATCAAACAAATAAACAAACAAAAAACTGTGTTCAAAATTATTTTAAATTTACATTTGACTTCTGACTTGCTTAAAATTTGTTATTTTTAATTGTGTGTGTGTCTGTCTGTCTGTGTGTGGGCAAGCAGGTGTCTTGGAGGCCATAGGTATCAGAGCCCCGGCAGCTGGAGTTAGAGGTGGTCGTGAGCCCCCACTGTGGAAGATGGGAAGTAACTCAGGTCCTCTGCAAAATCAGTATAAGCCCTTAAAGGCCCTCTCTGACTTACTTTTAAAAACGCCTTTTGTCGTTTACTGTGATAAAATTCTTTCCTGTCAACAGCTGTTGACTGATGTCTATTGAGACACCAGAGCTCGCCGGAGAGGATGCCAATGATCACCAAGCATCTGTCGGAGACAATGCTGCTGTGTGTGCCTGGAGAATCAGGGCCATTGTCTTGCTCAATCCGTTTGCAGTCACTGAGCTCATCAGCTAAATCTGATGGACTGACAGAGAACTCAGACATGAGGAAGGAGTGGTAATGTAGCAAGCCAGGCCGTAACTGGTTTGCCCAGAGCAGTGAGAGGCAGGACGGCATCCAGCCAAGTCACAAAACACAGGGCAGACTCCAAGACAGCTCTAGGAAAGAGAACAATAGCTCTTGTTTTCAATCTGGGGTGAATTATAGAAACAAGAAGACGTGGCTACCACACGGCTGTGCATACTAGGCATCTACCATGCATCTGCATACTATCACAGGCAGAGAGTAGACAGAAGATGCCCACTGTGATCCCAGGGGCAGCAGGCCCAGGAACCTAGCAGTTCTCTTCTTTAGCCGAGAGGTCTAGAAGCAAGTCATTGTCTCCCACACAAAATGATGCTCAGACTTAAGTCTGGCTCAGGATCAAGACAAGGTCTCTAACCTCTCAATTCCTCTTGTGGAAATAACTGTCCTAAGAAGGGCAGTATCATAGATAAGAATATAGAAGGGGGGGCTGAAGAGATGGTTCAGTGTTAAGGGCATTGCCTGCTCTTCCAAAGGTCCTGAGTTCAATTCCCGGCAACCACATGGTGGCTCACAACCATGTGTAATGAGGTCTGGTGCCCTCTTCTGGCCTGCAGACATACACACAGACAGAATATTGTATACATAATAAATAAATAAATATTAAAAAAAGAATGTAGAAGGGGACTATAAGTGGGGGGAAGGGGCAGCAGCAGATAATGAGAGAGGAAAAGACAAAATACCACTTACTTTCCTTGTGTCTGTGTGTGCGCGTGCGTCCGTGCGTGTGTGTGTGTGTGTGTGTATGTGTATGTTGTGTGACAAAACTTTTTCTGGGAAGATGCAACACACACATCTATTCATTCAAGATAGGGAGCTCATGACAGACCAAAGTATAGACACCATCACAGTAACTAATAAGTTTTAGTTAGTTAAGTAACTAATAAGTTTGGAGTTACTTACAGGAGTATGGGTGAGGGGAGCAGAGATGACTCAAAGACAGCTGCATCACCAAGGTCCACCCCAGCATGGGTGAGAGCTCACAGAAGCTGGGAACCTGGAGCACACTGCACTGCCTGTAAGCAGCTCAAAGGGTGGAGAGTGTCCCAAGTTCTGCTTCTTCTGGGCACTAGTCTGGTCTCAGTCTTCTTTGCAGCCCAGCTTCCTTTTCTGAGAAGTCTCAGCTTTTACTGCTGCTTCTACTAGGGAGGGTCCTAATGAATCCAGTTAGTTTCAGGGACTCCCTGAATATATTTGAGTTATTTACCTTTCTGTTTGAGGAGTTCCCTGAAGGATGGAATGTTTCAGTTTCAGAGAAAACTGCTATATAACTCTCTCTCTCTCTCTCTCTCTCTCTCTCTCTCTCTCTCTGCTCTCTCTGTGTGTGTGTGTGTGTGCGCGCACGCGCTCAAAAGAGGATACCAAGCATTGGTAAGCATCTTCAGAAGACAATGGTCTTGTGTGTGCCTTGACTATTGGTTTGGCATACACACACAATTGCAGCATGAAAGCGTAGTGGGACTCTTTGGGGGAAGAATTGGGGCCAGTGAGAAGTAGAAGGGCTAGGGGAGAATAGCAGAGCAGAGGGAGATATGAGCAGGCTACACATACTGTGTGTGTGTCTAAAATATCATGACAAAATCCATTGTTTTGTACACTAAATTAGTTTCAGGCTCTGGAGAGCTAGCTCAGGGATTAAGCGTAGTTGCTGCCTGCAGAGGACCTGAATTTGATTCCTAGCACCCACATGGTGACTCACAACCATCTGCAACAGTTCCATGAAATCACACATGCTTTTGGCCTCTGACGGATGCTGTCCATGTGTGGTGACTCATGTAAAAACACACATATACTATGAGGATACATTTAAAATTTTAATTTAAAAGTAAAAAACAAGCTGGGTGGGGGTGGTCCACATCTTTAATCCCAACACTCAAGAGGTAGAGGCAGGAGGATCTCTCTGAGTTTGAGACCAGTCTGGTCTACAGAGTGAGTTCCAGGACAGCCAAAGCTACACAAAGAAATTCTTTTTCCAACCCAAAAAGTCAAAAACGAAGATGGATATAGTAAATTAAAAAGATTTGCCTGGTGTGATGACCCCCCCCCGCACCCTCCCCCCCCGGGGGGGGGGGTGTAGAAGCCGGAGGATCAGTGGTTCAAGGCCAGCATCAAGTACAGAGCAAACTGGGCTTGATGGGGCTACATGAAACTGTTTAAAAGAAATGAGAAGAAAAATTCCTGCCGGGCAGTGGTGGCACACACCTTTAATCCCAGCACTCAGGAGGCAGGAGCAGGTGGATCTCTATGAGTTTGAGCTAGTACCAGGACAGGCTCCAAACTACAGAGAAATCCTGTCTTGAAAAACCTTTAAAAAAGAAAGACAGGAAGGAAGGAAGGAAGGAAGGAAGGAAGGAAGGAAGGAAGGAAGG